AAAAAGGGATGAAAGAAAGAGAATTCCAGGGAAGCAGAACTCCTCCCTGTTTCATGGAATAATTGAATCATAGATCACAAGGGCCATCCAGTCCAACCCCTTGCCATGTAGGAAGACACAATCATAGCACCCCCGACAGATGGCCATCCAGCCTCTGTAGTCTCCAACTACAAGGGAGGAGATTCCACCACCCTCCGAGGGAACGTCTTCCACTGTCGAACAGCTCTTACTGTCAGGAAGTTTTTTTATAATGTTTAGGTGGAATCTCTTTTCCTGTGCTTTGAATCCATTGCTGTATTCTAGTCTCTGGAGCAGCAGGAGACAAGTTTGTTCCATGCTCAATATGACACCCCTTCAAATATTTAAACATGGTTATCATGTCCCCTCTTAACCTTCTCTTCCCCAGGCTAAAAATACCTAGCTCCCTAAGCTGCTCCTCATAGGGCATAGCTTTCAAGTTCAGTAGGAATTTCTGCCTTCTCACTCCCCCCAAGTCACAAACCCACATTCTGCAAGTAGAAAACTAAAATACTGCAAAGAGACAATAGTATGGAATGCAATGCAATGCAACAAAATACACTTTTAAATTTATTTATTTAGCAAGGTCATAGGTGCTGGTTGGGTACTTTTGTTTTAAAAGTTGACCACCAACATTGACTGCTGAGTCCTAATGCTTGGCTTTTTCTTGGCTCTTGGCACGGTCTCTTTTAAGGCTCATGGCTTCTACTTTTGAATGGATAAGAGGAAACCTGGTTGGGCCTCATATAGGCATACATTTGGCCAAATATCTCCACTAAAAAATCCATGAAAACGGAGGGGCAACTGTATATATACATAGCATTGGAACTACAGCTTCAAGGTAATTTAAATTACAAATAATGAAGACTTGTAATTAATTCAATTTGGCAATGTCTAAGACACAACTAAGTAAGGTTCATTACAAATATTGTATAACTTCGCTCCATCTACAGTGTTAACTGCAATTCTGTTTCAGTTACTTTTAAAGCTACAAGGGTATATGGTCTCACTGCTCAGGTAGCTTTTGCATCACAGGCCAATGGTTTGTAGCATTCTAATTTTTTTAAAATATCAAAAATGATTTGAAGTATCTCTATGATTAGTTCTGAATAAAAATGTAAAGCTTTACTTTTTAAAAATAAATTTTGAACCCTGGTCTCCCTGAATCCTAGTCCAACACTCAGGCCACTACATCATGCTGACTCAAACCAGATGTACAGTAAGCAATCTTGCAATCCCTTTCATAAAAGTTCCCCATAGGTTTGACAGTTACTGACAACACAAACAAGGTCACAGAATCATACACATGGCTTTGGAAGCCATCTAGGCTAGGTGTTCCTAATCTTGGACACTCAGATAGTTGTTTGTTTCACACAGTGTTGAATGTTGGCTCCCATGTCAGTGGGGTGAGGAATACACTCCAGGTTTAATTCAGCATAGTGTAATGGTTTGAGCATAGGACTATGACTCTGAAGACCAGGGTTCAAATCCCTACTCAGAAATGGAAACCCACTGGGTGAGCTTGGGCAAGTCACACTGTCTCAGTCTCAGAGGAAGAGAAAGCCAACCACCCCCTCGAGTCACCATAAGTCGAAAATGACTTGAAGGGACACAGCAACCACTGTGGTGTTGGGCTCTAGTCTTACACAGTTCAGCACCATGGACAGTTCCTTTAAATTGAAATCTGGAATTGAATCACTGCCCCACTAACATGGAAGTCAATGGCCACCACTGGTTTCACCTTTATACAGCTCATTAGATAAAGTAATCTGTTTAAACATCTCAAATATTTTAAAATATATCACAGCTGCAACAAGAGAGGGAGTGTAAAAGCAAAGCATAAAAACAAGGGCAGAAGATAAATACACCTGAGAGAACCAAACAGTCTTTGCTGAACTACAACACTCAGACCTCTGACCACTAATTATGCTGGCTATTGCTTCAGGAAGGAGAAATCCATGAACATCTTTGGGCCCAAGCTGGGGGAACCACTGATCAAGTTCAATCTATCTGCTCATTGCAAAACATTCAGTGACAGAACCGTTCCAGCATAAGATCCTTGGACACCTCATGTAACCTCCCTCCATCACAACCCAGAAGGAGGCTCCACCAGCTTAGATGTGTGACTATGCACCTGGTTAGATATTGTACCTGCTCCACAATGCAAGAGCACTATATGTGCCAAAGCCACTCCACCCCCCAAAAGCAAAGAGAAACAGGAAAGGTTCAAATCTGCTTGAAGATCTCCAAAAAGGGAGAGTTCCCCTCACCCCAAGTAACCAGTTTCATTGTAAAACTGCTTTTACAATGAATGAATTTATTTAAATATCGAAACTGAAATCCATCATTCATTAAATCAAATCAACCACTAAATGACAACTGGGAGTAATTGTTTATGTACTCAAAGAAAGGAGCCCACCTGCCTGGGATCAGGTCCAGGAGCCCTTTGTGGTCAAGACAAGCCACAGCTGATATTATTATTTGGTCATGCAAAAAACACCCCAGAAAAAAGGACCAGGCAGGATACTCATATTATAAATCAAATGGCCACATTGCTTGGTTAATGATAAATACATTCAGTCCTAGGGAAAGAGGAGCATGCATTTTTGCATTCATTTACTGGAGGGGTTTGGGTAGAATGGAGGCGGGGAGAGAAAGACTTATATATTTCTGGGCTATAAGCAGGGCTGTGTGTTCCAGGCTGAAAATGCAATTCAAGTCTGCACAAAGAGGAAACTCCCCATCAGTCTGCATTCACAATACATTCTGAGCACCAAGCCAATCTGTATCCCTTTGTCTCAATTCTACTGTTCATTATTTTGCTTCCAAGTTCCATGCTTTAAAAATAATTAATAATAGCTTCAATCTTTGACAAGGAAGAAATAAATGATGGGGGAGATCAAAAATATACAACCAATGAAATTGGGGTAGGAAATTGGAGGGGGCAGGAGTGAAGCTCTAGGAAAATGAAAAGATTATGGCTCAGTTAATTTAGGGTAGAGGGAATTTTCCCTGTGTTCCTCTTGTTCCATAAGCTTTTCAAATGAACAGCAATGTTAAAACCTGACCTTGCACAAATCTCTTTGGCTTCTAAGCCTGTACTGAACCATCGTTCAAATATATTCCAACTCCCTCCCACTAGTGAGGACTAGTAACCTTTGCAGGTTTATTGGTTTGTTTGTGAAATTATAAGGAAGGATTTTTGCAGGATACACACAGCTCGGGTTATAGCAGCACAGGGCATAAACAGGCATGGGGTCACTTATATGCATGGTTGGTACAAATCTGGAGAGTCAAAAGTCATGCCCCTTCAATTTTTCAAACTTTGTGTGAACAGAGTGTCAACTTGCTTGTTTTGAGCAGATCCTCCTGTCTTCTTCTAACTTCTCTGCTTCTCTGCCTCCCTCTGTACATCGTCCCTCCTCCTCCCCATTGCGTACTTGCCAAGTGTCCTGTTGTGTGACAATAAAGCCATGTGGGTGAAGGCTGGTGTGACCAGAGGACGGGTGCTTTTCCATCTCCCCCATATTAAGTGACAATATAAAAAGCCAAGTTATTTCAGGGTGTGGAAGGATGCAAAACCCACCACCCCACATTCCTCCCTCAATCTCTGTAATATCCCCCACCCATGAGGAACCGTGTTCTAGAGGGACTTTCTATGCCGGGCCCACCCAAATCAGCTCAGATACTTACCTGTTCTGAATAGTCATTCCCGTCTACGTCGTCACTGTTGGAATGGCCTCCAGGACTTTGTACATCTATCCCATGACTCTCCAGGATTGCTGCTTCTTCGAAAAAAGCAAATGGATCCCTGAATTATCTGCTGCAGGGTTACCAATAAGGATGAAGATGAAAAATGGGAATCCTCACAAACGGGGAAATATTTGTTGTAAGAACCACAAAGAAATAACCAGAGCTGTGTGTACTCCATGTTGTTGTTTTTTAATTTAACATTCTTCACCAAGAAAAACTGAATTTTGCCATTGGAATTCTGCAAAGGACAAGGAACTGTGCAAGTTTGCAGGATTTATGGTGCAGCTTCCCACAATATCTCATTGTATATCATTTATCATGGTTTCGCTAGTGCACAGGGAAGGTCAAGAGTTTTTTCCAGGACAATGAAGCCAAAGATCTTGACTACTCAGAATCATATGCAGTTGCCTCCCTGGCTTCTGAGATTACAACAGGTACTGTCTTTGCTATCATAAGGGATATAATTGTTCCTTTTAACTGGAAGCGCCAATTTTCAGGAGCCAAATTCTGCACCCATCATCAAGTTTCACAGTTTCTTCCCACCTGTGTCTCCTATAAAACTGTGGCACAACACAGAACACTTCTAACCAAATAGACTTCAGACCTAGAAGATCCTTCTTTATGAAGCTGGGGGGGGGGGGGAGAATCACTGACTTGTTGACTGAAGCCACGAACAGCCACTTGCAAGTAAAATTTCCCTCTGTCTGTCTGTCTGTCTGTGGAATAGTCCTGGTTTTATTTCAAATTCTGGTTTGATGGTTCTTACAAGAAACACGCACCCCGTGTGGGATCCCATTTTCGTCTTCATTTCAATATGGTGCAAGCCCCTTTTGTGTGTGTTGTTGCACTGTTAAAAAAGGAAAATTAATTTGGTTGGAGGAGCATGAATGCCAATTTTTTAAAAGAAAAAAATGCAGAAGCAAAATCAGCTGAGATCTTTGTTCAGAGGTTAGCCCATGCTCAATTCGTGACCTCAGGGCTAGATCTCAGGGCTGGATCAGGAGTATAGCTTAGGGCCCAAGAAAAGAAATACAAGGAATCACCACTGCCATCTTATCTGTCAAGGCAGAGACTTGGGGCAGGGCAAATAGGGATTAGAGGCTCTCATTGGTGGGAAGCCCAAGGGCAAAGTCCCTTCCACTTTCTAGGATGGCCAAGACATTTGGCTGCATAATTTCAGACGCCTACCCTAGAACTGTCTTGGATCCCATTTTGGGAGAAGTGCAATAAATAAATATTACCGTTTATACTTGACTATAAGTCGAGCTCATGTATAAGTCGAGGACAAGTTTGGGGGCCAAAATTATGGATTTTGATATAAGCCATGTATATGTTGAGGGTAAAATTTAGGGGCATGTAACAAGGGATCTAAAGGATGAAAGAAAGGAAAATAATGCCAAAGCACACCACTATTTTCCAACCCAGACATTCAAGAAGGCCAGAAGTGGTGCCACGGCAGAGAGACTAGAGGTGGTCGGTGCTCTTTTCGTTTTTCCTGAAATGGACTAAGCTCTCGTCTTTTGTCACTCTACTCAGAGAAGGGGATGGTTCCTATTTTGATAAAAGTTAAGGTACAGTGCTTATACTGACCCATAGATAAGTCGATCCAGGTTCTTGAGGCTGGTTTTTTACTAAAATTTCTAGACTTATACATGAGTACATACAGTAAATAATTTACTCTTGCAAGGGCTGGAAGCTGGGGCACAACTTCCAACCCCATGAAAACCAGGGCTGTGTCCCTTCAACTTCTTTGGTGTGACAAGGCAACACGGGCACACATCTCTGGCCACACACTAATTCACTGGCACCTTGCAAAAAAGTCCTGTCACCCCAGTGGCTTGTGATGTCAGCTGCAAAGCTTCAAAAAGTTATTGGCCATGTTAGATGGAGGATTTGGGGTGCTGCATGCCAAAAGGTCAATAGAACCATCTTGGATCAGACCAAAAGCCCATCTAGTCCAATGTTATATTCACAAAGTGGCTATTCAGTTGCCTGTGGCAAGCCCACCAGCAGGACTTGAAGGCAACTGAACCTTCTATCTCATGCACCTCTCAGCAACTGATACATGGAAGCATAGAGCCTCTCTAAAAATAATAATGATACATAGCTAATGTGCCCAGGAACTGTTGTTGGTCCCAATCCTCCATAAATTAATCTGATTCCCCTTTAAGGTCACCCAAGCAGGGAGTCATCATTACTACCTCTTGTGGCAGTGCGATCCACAATTTAACTGCACACTTTGTGAAGAAGTATTTCTTTTTATCTGTCCTGGAGTAAAAATTTCCAAGGTCTAGATCTGCTGGCTCTTCTGTTTGGTGGGTTACATCTGCTCAGCTGTTTGGCATTCCTGCCTCTCTTCTGAAGCAGGCATAAGAATTAAAGGAGACCCCTGACAGATCAGACTAAAGGATCAAAGGCCAATCAGGTCAGCATCCCAATCTCAAAGAGTAGTAGCCAACAAAACTTCTCCAGGAAGCCAGAGATCAGGACTTTTATGGCAACAACTCTTCCCAGTCATTTCTTCCCTAACAGCAGATCTTCAGAAGTGTGCTGCTTCTGAACAGGGGGAGGCCACAGAGACATCGTGACTAGCAGCCTTGATCCCTCCTCTTCCATGAATGTATCCCACTCCTTTTTAAAGCCATCAAAGCAGGTGGACACCAAAGCATCGTGTAGTGATGAATGCCATGCTGAATTGCTAAAATTATTTCTTTTGCTGTGTACTAAATATGCTGCTGATCAATTTTGT